TATTCATCGACTGTGGCGACATATGCTATTCATTTTAACAAAGAATTGGCCCATCGCATTAGCTGCATCTTTCAAAATCCCTGAGATGCGGTGGGCGTGGCTGCCTACTCGAATTGAACGTGACGGCGACCATGGTTTTTGTGAGATGTGCCATTCTGGAGCAGTTGTAATCGTTTCTTTGTCCATCACAGAACAATAGCCGTCTCACTGAAGTATGTCGCGAGTTATTCATCCTATGCCATGTTCAAATGCCATGCCTACTCTGTCTCAGGGATAAGGATTGTATCAATTTGATTTCTGACATTTCAGCTGAAAGCTGAACACGGCTCTTGCGAAGAACGCTACAGGAAACTTCTTGAACTTATCACGAGTGGTCGATATGCACCGATTGATGCACTTCCCAGTGATTTTGCTCTTCAACTAACTAATAGTTATTCATAGAATTGCATTGTTTTCTGTACAAAATGCTTTACTTGTGTATAAATAGTAAAGACTTTGAAGTCTACTGCGTGAAAATGTTCGCCTGTGTTTCTTTACTGTACCTCAAATTTTGGTCACCGAAGTTGTTTCTGCTCTTTACCTGTAGCTTATTTAGCTTTCTTTGTGGCTCATGTCTAGGGCAAGATTGGATTCGTATGAACGACGATTAGAAGCATTACAAAGTTAGTTTCCTGCTTTATTTGCGCTGAACAGTTTCTAATTTTGGTCCGTGATGTAGGCCGTCGGAATGGTCAGTCCACTGCCACTGGAACCTCCGTACGTTCTCGGTCTAGGTCTCCTCTTTCCTACAGGTTTGTTTACCAAATTCACTTTTACTTACATATTGTCGAGGACAAAAACTATAGCTGAACTATTTACCCCGGTAAATAAAAAAAGATGCTTATAGTGGTTACTCGCAGGCCCGGTCGAGAATTAGACAGTTGCTTTTGGCATTGGGGTCATTTAGCGCTAGCAACCTTCTCAAAGGAATTGGTATAAACTTGCATGGTGGGGTCATTTGTTGTCATAACCACCAATACCACATTCGTCTCTGCGCTGACCCCTTTGGCGGTAAGAGGCGGGTTTGGCGCCGCCACCTTTCTCACCAGGTCCAATAAGGGCTTTAAAATAGGGTGTCTGATGTTCTGATCACGATAGTGGCAATAAAGTTTTTACAGCAGAGACATTTGCCGCTCTGCTAGGGTGAGCCTGGAGCGTGAAGAAGCAGTGGTTCCTTTGAGAACAGAGTCAGCCTCAGAAGAGCGCTGATGAGCAGTGTGTACTACATCAGTGTCAGCGTCTAGAACCGCGGCGTCTGGATGCCATGTACAGTTTAATAACGTTTTTATACAAGTGTCCATCGATGCTGGTGGAAAAGGTGGTGGCAGCAATTTAGCAAATTGGCGTTGAAAAAACTGTAGTATTCACGATCACGGCACAAATCCCGCCAAGACTGAGCAAAAAAAATTCTCGTGATTTCGGAGTAGTAATAGTTCGGTAGTGCCGGGTCTTGTAACTTATTCCTTGCTTGTTTTTTTTTCACTTCATAATTCGAAGAAATCTCGGCTGTATATCCTTTACTCACGTGTGTTCGCGAGTGTAATGCGAACCGGTCACCATGACCGCGCAATCAGAGCGATCAAATTGCAAACTATTTATAAACACACTCCTAGATCTTTAAGATCTTTTTCATTCAACCAACTTGAAGTTATTTGAAAAATCTTGAATGAATTAGATAATCTCAATTGACTTGGCCTGAACAATTTGCTCCGTTCTTGCGGCCTGTCGTCGCCCTCGTACACGCACGATCTTCTACGCTTGCTTGCCCTTAGTATGGTTATCCACATAGCGTTAAGCTTCTTCAGTATCGGATATTCTAGAGTACGCCTAAAAGCGCATTTTCAAATTTCACGCGCTGTTAATTTCTAACCTAGAAATGTTCAGAAGAAATGCATTAAATAGAAACAATCCAGTAATTATCTTTGGTTGCTTTGATTCTGTTCCCACCGGCTTCAACAATAGTGGTGCGGTGGCGAAAAGAATGAATGCCATGTTTGTAAACGGTCGGTTCGCCATCGCGCCTCCTGCGATATGGCCCGGCTTCGCCGGACGGACGCGGCTCGTCGCGCGTACCTCCTTTTATATGTTTGGATATTTGAAAATTATCCGACTTACCTTTCCCCTGTACACACTGTCAACGCTCTTTGGCCAATAACATCACAATCGCTACTTTCGACACTATTACCGTCTATGAACGTGGTGGTAAGCAGCGTTGATCAAGTGCGTAGGTGAGAGAAAAACCGGGTATTAGTTGAGCATTCAAACATACGCAAGCAGGTGGGCGCGACGAAGCCTA